AGGAGCTTCTATTGATTCGATGCCAACGCCTTTTATTTTTTACTACTTCTCGCCTCATTTACGTATGTATTAATTACCAACCTCTTATTGTAAACCATTTTAAAAGGATGGAAGACGCAATTTGTTCTTCTAAAACGCAAATACTTAAGGAAATGAGCAAAAGAAAAAAAGTATAATAATAATGCAGGGAAACGAGAGATTCTTAATCACGAAAAGTAATGAAGCTTTTAAGCAATCAAAAACGCAGGTCGTTTCTTAAAAGCGTCCGCAATTTCGAGACAATTGCGATTTTATCATTCGCGTGAAGATGAGCGGGATGGATTTAATTGGCGGACAGATGATTCCGTACCCAAAATCCGAGCAAAATCCATTCGCCGATGCTCGAACCCCAATTAAATTTAATTAGTTAAGCAATGAATAACCTGTCACGAGTCCGCATTGTTCTCTGAGTTACTCGTATTCGCACTGATAAAATATATGATTACTGCATTGTTTGCCTAATTGGCTAATACCGAGTTGCAATTAAATGATTTCATTAATATCTTACGCATCATTTAAATCACCTGAATTATACTCATTTGTACATACAATTTAAATTTAATTGCTTTCATAATTATGCGTGAGTATGAGTTAAATCTCCTCTATTCTTCGTATTTAGAAGTTACAAACGATTACTAAACATAGCTCTTATTGAATTATATTGATCAGTTCGGGAAAGATATTGCTGTTATCTATAAACTAAGGGTGATTGCACTTCACAAAATTATATAACATTGGCGAGCTGCCAATCTTACTTATATCAGAAGAACAGAGGTAAACATAATATGATGACCTTCGAAACGCATAAAACATCTTGATATATATTTTTAGCTTGGCAGAAAGCATCGAGTTCACTCCATCTTTGCTAATGATACACATGAATGTAAGAAATATATATATATATAAAAACCGCATCCTTATTGCATGATGAATTCCGAAGGCATCTCAGCCCTCTGACGAATTTGATAAAGTATACGACATCCATCTTAATATTATACTTTAGATATTTCACACACGTTCTTTGAGGCGAGATCGTGTCTCGGTGTCACCGCAAAACACCAAGCCTGCATATACGAACATCCACATCCACACACGAAACGCAATCTTCCTCAGAGACACGACTTCTTCCACCTGCAGTGCAACTGTTTAATAAATAAACCTATAAGTTGAAGAAGAAGAAAAAACAATATTCAAATGGCAGTAACATCGCTGCAAGATATTGTATGTAAATGTGATTTTTTGGATCAATAGAGCTTTAACACTTTCGGAATCGATAGGAATTGCGGTGAAAATGACACCGTATCAGCATGATAGGAAAATGAAATAGTGTGAGTGTATGTATTCACGACACAACACACGCAGTCTAGTGAGTTTTACACGTGCTTTGACGCAAAAGTCGATGGTCCACGACACAGGTGGAATCTCCACAATTTAATAATAACTAACTCTAACACGATTCAAAAATCAACGTATAATTCACATTATAACGATGTGTATTATATAAATATAAATTGGTTTATGAAAGAAAAGCAAATTGCAAGGAATAAAGTTGTACGGAAAGTTTCTCATCAAACTAGAAATAAGTAATCACATGATGGCAACAGCTGTTATTGAATTCCAAGAGCTTTATTGATCCCATATCTGTTTGTAATAAGACGCTAATTGGAGTTACATTTTTTTTTACAAAACTTATTACTAGAATGTTACCTTTAATTAGCTATCAAAATACATTTTCCAATGTTTATAATAAACATTTGGATTCATTGTAAATAACAGGTTAAAATTGGAACGATTTTACGAGGAGATATTTGTGTGGAAAGAAAACGGTGGGTCCTATTTCCACATCTAAGAGCATTCTCCTGTTACGAGGCCGGTTATAACAACAATGTTTATTTGGGCGTAAAATCTCCCACTTCGCAAACCATTCCAACCGTTAGGGTCCGTTGTTATTGTTCTCTTCAAATCTTTGTCTGAAGGCAGTATCATTAGCAAATTGAAGGACTCTCGAGGTAACTGGCAAATGGAACTAAGCCTGTCAGAGAACAGGTTTTAATTGAATTTCCTTATAGCTTATATTCTGATCTTTCAACATTTTTAAATTCAATTTGATAATTAACTAAACAATCAATTAATTTTCTTCTCACATAAAAAAAAATAGTTATTTTTTTTAGTATTAAAATCAAATATTTCATTAATTATATTTTAATTTATTTCTATCTTTAATTAATATTTATTATAACAACTAGTAAATAAATGTTTTGTTTATATTCAAGAATATTCATATTTTACAACTTTTGAATGTTTATAGCATGAATAGAAATAGTAGTATAATATTTGATATAATAAATAAACTGTTTGAAATTAGACTAATTGAGGAGTGTTTGAAGGCAGATTTAAAAATATGTATTTATAGAAGTATTTCTGTTTTTAAGTTATTTACAATGACTGCAAACAAATGTAGTTAATAGAGCTTGGAAAAAAGTCATTTATAATAATGATGATTATGGGATATAAACCAATTTATATCTAAAATAGAAATAGAAATCTAAGAGTAATTTCAATCTTTGTGTTGAATGGAAGGAATGTGCACAATTTCAAAATAATTTGTCTACAGAATTACATTTATATGTAATTACGTCTTCAGTATACAAATGAATTTTACGATTCTATTTTCATATCTCTATAGAACTCAATTAACAAGAAGTTCGGCAAGAAAACAAATCTCCGTTATTATTTCGTATTTCGTATTTTAGTATTTCAATTTCTGGATAAATGAATTCTATTCATCATCAAATAGATTTTTTCTACTATAATGAGATTATAAACCAATGGACATGTGTTGTCATGTTGTCACTAACCAATTAATTACGCACTCTGCATTTGTGATCTCAACAAGACAAGTATACTACATCGCACTCCTCTTGTATGATTGTACAGTGGTGGTTAATTACAAATTTATTATATAATGCTTATGAAATTTGTCAAGTTTTCTAATATTACCGCAGAATCTTAATATTTCGTTTTTAGTAAGATTAAGTTTGCTGTATTTGCTTGGTATCTATACTACATTATGAGTTTTTCATATTTTGAATTATTGTGCTATTTTATTTAGTTCCTCGATTAATCCGGTTTTAAACAGTCCGGGATTGCTGCGAAATGCAATTTTGTATATAATTTATATACAATATATGTTTCACTTTCAATGCTTTTACCAGAAACACCTACGTAATAATTAATAATATTGTGCTGAATTTTGGCGAGGAATTTACATATATAATTCTATAACTTAAGTAAAAAATATGTGTGATGACTGCGATAATGCTGTAAGCTATAGGATAAATAGATTCCCTTGCAATTTGAATATTGAGAGCGCAGTTTGCAGCATGGATTCCATGCATGCGTTTAATTTTAATTTCATCCTAATCCCGGTTCGATCGGTGCATGTCCACTTTACCGGAATAAAATTTAACAAGTTTTATATATTTTTTCGGTTTTATTTTAAAATTTTATTTTAGGAAATTGATGGTTTTTGTGTTTGCGACGGAATAAGTTATGCAGCGAGCGTTTTGATGCCGTCCACATCAAAACCGGATACAGACGGACCATCCCCAATATAATGATGCTCGGTGTCGGTTACGAGGGTACACAATTTTATGTAAATCTAGTATTAATTACCGCAGTTTACACGAACCCGGCAAATTGACACAGCCCATAGTAGTTTACATCATGAGACCGCTTAAACATCAAAAAGATAGGCTATATATTAATTACACATTTGATTGATATACGGAATTCCTTTGAAATGTTCCCAATTTAATAACATTGAAGCGTTAATTACGTGACCAAATCAATGCTTAGTATAAAAATCGGATGGATGCGCCGGGCATGTAATTGGATGGCGTGTTCCATCCTGGATGGTTAATAATAAAATCGGAAGTGGTCAATTTGAAATGCGGGTCGTAAAATGGTTATTCGGAACACACGTTCCCAGATGTTTCCATTTCATTGTTTCCACCAACCTGAGTAGCCCCATCCACTAATTTAATTGCATTTCCTCAGCTGGAATTCGCTAATGGACTTCTCTTCCTCGACAATTGCTCTCCGGATACCCTTATTACCATAACACTATGTTCCTAACGCAATAAAATATATTCTACCTTCAATTTTTACAATGTAGTCAGTCAGAAATAATTAATTACATTATCGTCCCGACATAAAACCTGGATTCCCGTTTCTTCGCCCTCTAACTAGAGTATCTACTGAACGATGATGAATATATATCGATTCCCGCTAACACTAAAACCACGATAATAATGCTTTCAGCTGAAAGTTTATCCCGGAAGAGTTAAGTGGCGATTTTCCTCTATCTTCACTCTTGAATACCATGGACTAGAAAAAAATGCAAGATTGTTTTAATAGTTTTTTTGTTTTGCCAAGTTTACATAAATAACTAAACTCCTCGCAGACACATAAAACGCAAATATTTATCTCTAGAGAATTCCGCAACTCGATCTAACTTTCTTCTGTTTCTTTTAGAAAGAAAGAAAAAAACAATTAAGGCAAGTATTGATTATGTTACTATTTGACTTAAAGATGTTAAACTCAATTTAACATTTAAAATATCATGAAGACAAGAATAAAATTGATATATTTTTTCAAATTACATTGTTTGCTATGAATTTATTAATCATTTATTAATATTCCTTATCAATTTTAATTATATATCTTTAATATTGGATGCAATATTTGTCTTAGAAAACAACATTATTTGTTTGTAAACTTTATGTTGTAACATTGATATAATTTATCTATCCAATTAATTTTTTTTATAATTATCAACATAATTCGCTCATTAATAAATTTGCTAAGTTAATCTATATTTAAATTATGTTTAATGCCATCTTTGGATAGTATTTGACAGTTTTACTGGAGTGACGAGCGCTTGTGCGGTGGAAATCGATTTTCCGCGAGGAAAATTTTCAGCAAAACCTCAGTTTACCTTTGAGAGCTTGTTGAACAACACGCAACAATCTTTCCGATTCAGATCCGGTGCGAATCCTCGTACTGCAATGGTAAACAATTTGGCTTATGCATTTCAAATAAGCTTTGTACTAAAGGATCTGTTATTCTCTTTGCAATTCTAGTACGGATTCGTCAACTACGCACTCGAGCTTCTCGTTGTGAAAAGTTTCGGGGAAGAAACTTGGGAAACAATCAAGTAAGTCCGTTTGTAATTTATAAAATATAATAATAAATTAATTGGCTCAAATATTTAGTAGTCATATAATTTATATGACCTACATATCAATAGATTTAGCTGTATATTTTAATGATTATTATGTAACTGAAGATACATCAAATTTCAAATAAATAGTTCTGGAAAAATATATTAAAATATGTAAACACTGAGTTTTATGATAAGTAATATTAACAATTTCAGACAATAGAAACAATTCTGAAATTTAGTTGTTTAAATAAAAATTTCAATTATCAAAAAGTTACAATAATATTTAATCAGCAATTTTCCTAATTGACCTAATTATTTTTTTATTTTATTACCAATTTTTACTCTAATTATATTAGTTTTGCAATTACTCTGCTTATTATTTTGATTTTTTGAAATAGAATTCTCGAAACAGTTAGTATAATTTACTGAAGTTTATGTTATTCACTCCTTATTGATAACTGTTTAGAGCAAATGTAGGTAATCTGCTCCGCCGAAAACCCGAACTGATTGAAACCGGACTAATCGAAGTAAATACATACAACTAACTGAACTAAATACATACAAAAAAAAACTGCATAAAAGTATATTCTTGATGAAGATTTTTGCTTCAAATTCATATTTATTTATATAATATAATTTCAATAAATTTAATCTGAAGATTTAACTATTTTTAAACCTAAAATGAAACCTTATATTCGCCGAACATCTTAAGTATCAATTTACCTATTGGAAACATGAGATTCTGTTTAGAAACGGATGATTTTTTTGTAGTTTTATGTTCGGAAACCGACTTTCCACTATAAGCATAATCATTTAAGGAAAATTGAATTTATACATATAAAAACGTCCTAAGTTATAATTTTAATCAAAATATTAGAAATAAAGAATTTAAAAAGAACATATTGAAAAACTAATATATACCACGAAACATTATACAAATTATGGAAATTCTCTACTTTTATTAAAATATCAGTAAAATACACAATTTTTACATAATTTGATGTCTTGCAATCATAAAAACACATTCATGTTTCTATCTCCTTTGTGTTTCGAAACTTTATTACCGACCCTTGTCAAGAACTCTCACATATACACTTCTTTTATATTCTTTGTCAATTTGCAGGAATTTGGTCACAATTGAAATGAATGATAAATATAAGAATTTACTTCAAGCAATCAAATCAAACATTATTTAATATTGTCATTTTATTGTCAATTAAAAAATATGATGTCAAATAAAATGTCTTTTTCACGTAATTTAATTATTTGTTATATACTTGATAATTGTCAAGTAAATTTTGTAAATATTGTTCTTCTTTTGTTTATAATTAACTTCTAATTTTAATTAGAATATATACTTATAGTTCTCTATTATTTTTAATATTATGTGGATAAATATTAAACGTGAAGAATTGTGCTCCAAATTACTCAGCATTAACAATCAATTTTCAATTCAATAACATGGATTTACATTTATAATGAATATTTTCTAAACATATTTTTTTAATTGAATTTAATTATTTCTAAATATTTTATCTCTTTTGTCCCATGTTCATATAATATATATGTTTGTTCTATTTAGTAATATATCAAATGTTATAAGTACATAAATTCACCTAAACTTATATTTAACTTAATGATATAAGATAAAATAATTATATAGCAATTAATTTACAATTTTGAGAAAGTAGGTTTATTTCTCTTACTACTTACATTGATGCTAATTGTTGTACTTATATAATTATATTTTATCGGATAATAAATTTATTTAGTGAGCTTATTTAAATCAATTAATATATTATGACCAATATGTTTCTAATAAATTTATAAATCAAAAGCTAATCAATTCCTTTAAAATATTTCTATATTTTAATTAAAAGAACTTAACTTATTATATTTTATATGACTCAGAAATTCAAAGTCAATTATTAAAATTTTAATTTTTGTATTATATTCTTAATTAATAAAGTACAAAATACACAATTGTAGGATTGTCCAAAATGAAAATAAATATTAAATTTAACTTGTATATAAATCAATCAATTAACAATAACTTTAGTGACCTCTATATATTATTTTTGACATATGACATTGACTTAATTACGTGTTCAACATTTCAGGAAACATGCCGATGTACAAATGGACGGACAGTTTCTGGTCAGACAGATCTATGAAGATGAATTGACGTACAACTTGGTAGGCGCTGCGGTGGAAGTGTTACGTGAGTAGAGTTGAGAAGGGACGATCGGAAATATTTAATAAAATTTCACCGTATTGCAGAACTTCCGGCGGATGCTATATTGGAATTGTTCGGGAAAGCGTTCTTTGAATTCTGCCAGGATTCCGGCTATGATAAGATACTGCAAGTGCTCGGGGCAACACCTCGTGACTTTCTACAGGTATTTATATATACAAAGAAGCATAGAGTATATCAAGGGAATTGAGGTTCCTTCGCCGACAAAAGCAAACCGGGCATTTCCTGCTCGCTCGCATGTTCAAGCGATTTTTCTTTGAAGCCCAAAAAAGGGGCATGAAGTAAATATAGTCGAGACCATATACATTATATAGTAGTATTCAATGCAAATAGTGGTCTGTTCTTAACATAAACCCACGTATTGCAGCGTATTCATAAATACAAATATATATTTGGAATGAAATACTTTCTTTACACGAATTTAAATTAAAGCATAAAATCTGTTACATATTTGATATAAATATAGTCTCATCTCGATTAAAGAATAGGATGTATTCTATGAAAAGACAAAATACTATGGAAATTAATAATGTTCCTCACTAAATAACATTCAACTTACACACAAACTGAAATATATTTCATGTAAAATGATATGATTTCAATGCATTTTTACCATTATTAATAAATGCATAATGTTATATTAGCTAGTACATGATACAAATATACATATTTATATGTTTCATAATACTAATAAGAAGTAGAAACTAGTATATGTTAATTTGGTTGCCTATATTTCGTTCAAGAAAATGTGCTGAAATTTCTTTTAAGTTACGATTAATTATTTGTCAATATAATTAAATATAACTAAAATGATGACATAACAAAAAACATAATAATACATACAAAATTACACATTTTGGGATATTCTAAAATATATGTATGCAAAAAGACTATAGTTTATAACTTTCTAGCCAAATTGTTTAAGTTTATTTTCATAATATTACTGTTTTTACACGATTTAAATGCATATAGGATTTACGTATCATGTGACTATTGCCTTGTCATATCAAAATACCGAAAAAAAAATCAACATTTTATAGATTACATTTTATAGAATTAGGTAATATTTCATTACTTAAATACAAACTATATGTCTTAATAAAAAAAAGATATATGCTTTATATTCTCGTATAAAAAAAAACTTAAAGAATTAGCTGTCTTGAAATAGTGGAACATCTTGGAATTAAAATTAAAATGGAAAAGGTAATGATAGTATTAGCTTCTGATTATGCAAATTCACTGTATTTTCTTCAGGAACCAATCTTTCGTGTAAAACCATATCAATCGATGTAAGAGTAGATCTTTCGCTCTTATTTTTATACTATTAGTAATATGAAATTATTGATGTTGTTTCTCTTACTTTAGTAAAATAAACTTTTTTTTTCTTAGTAATTGGATATTATTGACTGTGTCAATTAGAGCCATAGATTATTTCATATTTTCCTGATTCGCTATTATTGGATTTACGAATTGATTCCAATCAGATTCGATTCGACAATTTGAAATTGCTTCTTGCAACCCAGTCGACGCTTTCATTTGAACGTAGATTTTATAACTGGTTCATGATTGAAAGCAATTGCAGTAGATGTTATTGGATCTCTTCCTATAACATAAATTAAAATGTTGTAACGTTTGTAAACAGAAATTATAAACGAACGAAGCAAATTGCATTCGCCATTAGTTTCACGATCCAATTAGAAGGCGATAATCGGCTTTCGAGAGACAATATAATAAATACTCATCATCGGTTTCTGCAACTCTCGCGAAACGTTGTGAAAATCTATTCATCCATTCAATGCACTGCTTGTATGCACTCACATGCTGTTTTGAAACCGCCTTGCAATTCGCTCATCGTTTAAAACTATTTTTTCAAAACAGAAATTCCCATTAATCTACGACTAATTATTCACAATTCATACTTGACAATACAGTAGACGCCAATTATGCTACCAATAGACTTAATCTTTGTTTGTTTGTGTTACTGTTAATGCAGAATTTGGATGCTTTGCACGACCACTTGGGAACGCTTTATCCAGGGATGAAAGCCCCTTCGTTCCGGTGCACTGAGCGACCGGAAGATGGTGCTTTGATACTGCATTACTATTCGGATCGTCCTCATCTCGAGCACATTGTTATAGGGATCGTTAAGGTAAAACCTGCTTTAAATAATTTAGAGTGAATTATAAGTTTTCGTTTTTAGACTGTGGCGAGTAAATTGCACGGAACCGAAGTCGTGGTGGAGATACTGAAGACAAAGGAGGAATGCGATCATGTGCAGTTTCTGATTACTGAGCGTTCCGGACCGAGGAAACAAGAATTGCCTGAGATCGATGAGCTCGAAACGCTCTCTTTAGGTAATGACAATATCGAATTGTTTATTGGTTTTTCCCAATAATCGATTACCAACCGTGAATAAATATCTCCGAAACTTAGTGTCCCACGGCAAAGCGTTAAACAATATACATTCAATTATTCAGGCTCTATCAAAATTGCAGACTTATTTGAACTTATTGGAAATTCAAACCTTAATCGCTTAATTTGTGTACATACTTTCAAATATTAAAATACACTAAGATGAAACTTTTAACACTCAATTAGCGAAATATGATTTTTATTGGGCTATAAAATATCGCGTTTCAGCTGAAGTTCAAGGTTAATATGCAACAAATAACTCTGCATTTTTTTCTGAAGGTCATCTAGTGAAAGGCTATCATTAATTGTAAACAAGAATTTAAACATAAATGCAGGAAATGAAACCTGGTAATTTGTGTTAACATGAGGAAGACAATTTTTGTGTACACAATTGTACAAGTAAAACTTAATGTATATGAAAAGAAGTAACATTGTGATTTAATAATATAGTATAATGAAGAATCCAGAGAAAACTATACAAATTCATACTTATAAATCATATACCAGTATAATGTAAGATGCAGGATTTACAATTACTTTTAATTTGAGAAGTTTTGATGAAAAATTAAGTTGGATTGGATTTTGTATGTTTTGTACTATTGTTATGAATTAAGAGATTAATAGTATATTAATATATAGAAATATTAAATAATATTAGTGAGGTATTTAATAAAATAAATATATGTTTCTTTTTAAGAGCCAAAAGTGAATGCTGCCACGTTCTGCAGGGTTTTCCCGTTCCACATCATGTTTGATAGGGAACTAAATATAATCCAAACTGGTTCCACAGTTGCGAGGGTTATACCGAAAGTGGCCTCGATGTACTGCAAGGTCACAGATATTTTGGATCCGGTAAGGATAAGACGAGTTGGCTGGCCGGCATCAAAAAATGCGATAGCAACAGATGGGCACGCGTTGAGTCACTGGTTATAAATGCAAGAACGTTACTTTTCCGCCTGAACCTGGGAACAGAAGTTTATTCCAGATCGTTGTACTTCTTCTCCGGGCAATCCTACAGCAGGAACAATCCACGTTAAATGAATGCCTTATGATGTTTTTTTTAGGTGCGTCCACACTTGGAACTAACATTTGCGAATATACTTTCGCACATCAATACGATTTACGTATTGAAGACGAGACCCGACGTGATGGAGGTGGCGGCTCCACCAGAGTTCCGCTCTCTGAGGTTGAAAGGGCAGATGATGTACGTGCCGGAAACGGATCTTGTCATCTTCCTATGCTACCCGAGCGTCATGAATTTGGACGATCTGACCAGGTTGGTTCGCTCTCATCCACAATCTTTGATGATCCAGTACGATTCTCTTGTTCACTTTCGTAGACGGGGTCTCTACATCAGCGACATTCCGCTGCACGACGCCACCAGAGACCTGGTTTTAATGTCAGAACAATTCGAGGCCGATTACAAGCTCACGAGAAACCTGGAGTTCCTCACAGACAAGCTGCAGCAAACATACAGGGAACTGGACAGCGAAAAGAAAAAAACAGACAGGTAAACTACAGCATTCTTCGTCCATATACCACTTTCTTGCAAACTCAATTAAATAATGAGAAGAACGGAGATAGAAAACGAAGGAGCAAAAAAAAAAGACGATTAATTAAACAAAATATCCTGTTTGCATTTTAGAGAATGTGAACGTTTTCTACACATCTGCCATTAATAATGAATGAAGTATTATAGAGAGGCGGGACGAGTTTTTTGTATATTAATTTAGAATTACGAAGATTCGTGGAAGTTTTTTTTTTCTTCGTTCAAGCAAAATATGATTTATTTCCTATTAAGCGCAAACGTTTCTCTAACGTTGATGGAGGTTTAAATATTTCAAAATTCAATATCGGAAAACATGTTTAACCTAATTTCGAATGCATCGGAAAGTCGTGTGCACTACTCTTGGGATGATTGCTTTTTAATAGCTTGTCTATTTTTATTTTATTTAACATATGAGAAGTATTTGAACAGACGGACGTACCAATTAGTTTGAATGGAATTTCTAGAAGTAGAATCTGTAAATCATAAACATAAATCAAATATTTCTTCAATCTTAGATTTTAAATATTATTTTGAAAAATGTTTGAAACATTTTTTCATTCATTTACATTGAGCACATTAATTCAACAAGTAAAGAAAGCTTGTGTAGTTAGAAGTCAATCTTATAATAGATTATTAGAACATTGCTACACGAAATAAAGCAATCATTTCAAATTGTAGAATCTCTTTTTTTTTATTACCATTGTGGTAAAACATTTACGGTTCGTAAATTTGAATACGGTAAGAAATCTTTGCGGCTAAATATTGATAAATTCCAATCATATATTACACATTTCATGTCGAATGTGAAATAATATAAATCACAGTTCAAGCAATTTGATTCCATTGGTTGATTTGTTAATTAAAATTACATAATTTTAGATATGTAATTTCTATCATACAAATGAAAGTGTAATTCCTTTAGGGCAATTACTTATTGAATCCGTTGTTAAAAGGCTAACGACCTTAATATCTCGATTATTGCACGATATGTTATAATACTATATTGAATTAGTCAATAATTGGATGGGGAGTATAAAGCGTAACAAGCTAATATTGTGTCATTAGCTTATTACGCGCAATTGTTAAATGGTGAATTGATATTCGAATATAACGGCGCACATTAGCATGTCGCAATCGAAGGCTACAATGATTTTTACATTTATTTTTATGCATTACTTCATAGCTAATGAGTAATGCGTTACAGAATTATTGTTATTGGATTAGCAATACCTGTGATCGGTGCAACATTATTATTACAGTTCAAGACTTGCGGTGAAATTTGCAGACCAATTTTCGTTTTGCTTCATTCTTTAGCAATGGCAGGTGTATCGGAGATATTCATATTTTTTTTTTATGGTGGAATGGAAGTAATACGAACTTTCGACACAACACGTGTCGAAATGTAGTCTATTGAAGGTAATTTATGTATTCCTATTCCTATTCCTATTCCTATTCCTATTCCTATTCCTATTCCTATTCCTATTCCTATTCCTATTCCTATTCCTATTCCTATTCCTATTCCTATTCCTTCAATTACATA